ATTTAGAGCAAACTCTCGCAAATTCAAAAACAAGAACAGAGCCGAAGCTGTGTGGTGTTATGATGCCCCAGGCTTTGCCTATGGAAAGGAGAGGGAGTACGGGAGAGAAATGCAGCTATGAAGATGGGCTAGGGAAGCAGAGAAACATCTAGAAGTACAGGGAAGACAACACTAATATATTTTCTGCAAAGACCTTATAGGCTGTTAAATCTCAGGTCAGTAGGCAGATGGGGACCTTGTGATGGCTCTTCTGCATCCCACAGGACTTGATTATTAGGCTTCTACCGATTTATCCAAGTCTGGAAACCTCCCTTCCCACACACAAAAAGAATATATATATATATATATATATACACACACATATACCTATATAGCAAATCAAAACTCTGATAATTGATTAAATACAAATCACTGAAAATCAGCACAGGCACCACTTCAAGCAACTGCAACATATGAACATGGGCCCAGTATGACCCCCACATCCAATCGCTCATCACTGTGAGTGATGTAAGGAACTTAACCACAGAAAAGCCCACAAAACATCCACTGCTTCCCATTCCCATCTCCCACTGCCCCTACTGGCAAGTGGGTAGCTCTAAAGGCAAAAAATTTGTGCCAAAGAAAGAACAAGCATTGAAGGCATTGCCAGTGCCCAAGAGCCTCCTCTGGGAGGAGACTTGACACCATGCACACACAGCAGTGGGAGAAGCAGATCCCATCAATTTCTGTCATCACAATCAGTAGGAAAACCCACCCCTGATGTCAGGCTTGGCAAGCATTTTAATCCAGCCTGTGAGCAAGACAGAATAAGGCAATACCTGAGAAATGCCTGAGAGCAGTAAGCTCACCTATGCTTTCTAACCACAGCCAAGCTCTGACACCTCAGAGAGAGGAAATAAAAACCTTTCCCCTCCAATGATTGTACCAAACAAATACTCAACATCTACATCATGGCAGCAAATTCCCTGACACCTGTAGCTTTATCAGCCAGTAAGAGCACAGGCCATCAGCTCCTCTCCATCCCATTCAACCATGAAGCCACGACTCCAAGCTCCAATGGCAATGATTTCACAAGGAAATATCATTTTCTGCCCCTCCATGGACACTCCCAGGACAATCACATCAGCAGGATGTGATGGAGGCGGACGTTGGTGTCTGCACTGCAGTCAGCAATTAGAAACAGAGACCAAGATTTTTTTTTTCTTTTTTAAACACACACACACACCCCTTTGATAAGACTTTCCTTTTGGAGGCATCCATCTCATCCTGCTTGTGTCACACAGGGATGGGGCTGCTGCCCTGCACTCTGCACGGAGCCGTATCTAAAGGTCCTGAGAAACACAAGCTACCGCAGAGCACGCAATGAGCAGTGCTCGCCTGCAGCAAGCCTGCTCACCCCCAGCTTGGAAGGACTGGCTTAGACCTGCAAAGCCCATCCCAACTGAGCCTGGCTGAGCTAAGACATCACCTCTGTCCCCTGCTACTACAGCAGCACACACCCCTGGTCTAAGGCAAGCAGTGAAAACATTTCCAGAGATTTCCTTCCTCTAATTAGTCCCTTATACACTGGGCTGATTGCTCTGCAGGGCACACCGCAGTGCCTCAGCCACGGTGGGCTGAAGAGTACAGGGAAAGAAGGGAGTTTATTACCAAGTTAGTGGGTTGATTTATGTAGTCTGAGTTATGATTAGAGGATTTAAATATATTTTGTACCAGCATAAGGCATTTTTCAAGCCTCCATGCAATTTGCAAGAGTTTTAAAGTATGCATTTCAGATACAGCTGAATAAACTGAATTAGCTGACTGTATTAGGTCACTATAAACAACTATTCACTATTCACCTTTGCATAGTTGTTAAGAAGCCTTTAATTTCTGGTAACAGCTTCAGGGATTGTAGTTACTAAACATTCTTAAAGTGACTCCTATATTATCACATATTTGAGATTTAAAAAAATACACACATTGCTTAGCTGTATTTCATCTTTCAGATTTACCCACAGCACTTGATTTCTGAGCCCATCCACAATCCAGCAATTTTAGTGATGCTCTGTGCAAATGTAGCCGCTTACCTGCTTGGCTGAATTTACAGGATTAGGACTTTGATTTGATAAAAGACCCATTTACTTTAAATCAGTGACCAGCTCTTTTAAACTCTATAATCATTGTGTCTGCCTTTCATGAGTTTCCAGCTGCAGATATTTGTTCCAAGAAAAAAAAAAAGAATAAATTTTCTTTGACCATTTTTTTTTTCCCAGAAGAAAGCTGGTATATGGCTTCTTTGCAGCAGAGACTGGAATTCCAAGCTTTTCCTAAAACCAGAGGTGGAAAGAGCTCAGCCTACACCATCCACAATGTCTGCATGGCCTCATTCGCTATGGATGGGATAGAGCAGGTCTGCAACAGTATGCAGGGCTGTAGGTTGGAGCTCAGTTGCACTGGGCTCACATGGGCTCTGCATGCACTGGCACACATGGGCTCTCTGCAGCTAGATCAGGTAGCAAAAATGCAGCCAGGTGTGAAATAGGCAGGTAAAAGGAGGAAAGGAAGGAGCAAGGGTCTAGAAAAGAAGCAAGAGCTGCAACCTGGGATACGGATGCATTAACAGAGCTTCAAGGAGGCCTAGGTGCAGCGGACAAGCCCAGGGGTTGGGGGAAGCATGGACAAGCCTGGGAGCACAGATGTCCCAAGGAAGCTGGCCCAGCATCACACGTGTACCCCAGGCCCCAGGCAGCCCATCTGGCCTTCCTGTGGCACAGTCAAGCCCACTTCACCTATCCAGAAACACGGGATACAGAGAGAGGCAAGCAGCACGCATCCTGCTCAGCTCGCGCTCCCCAGGGCTGCACTGGCCCTGCTCCAGCCACATTCCCTACCCATCAGCGACAAGGAGTGATTTTGTGAGAGAAAATGTGATGCGGGTTGGCATAATGCCCCCCTTCACACTGGCACCATCAGACCAATCCAGGCTTCACAAGACAAACATTTTGGACACTGGCAGCAGTCTCCATCGGGATATTCACCACAAGATCTCCTGGCAGGACACATACACACCTACTTGTGCACTGAGCTGGCCAGTGCTTTGGCACATGCATCCCAGTGAGATCTGCAGGAAAACTGCTTTTCCCAGCCTTTCTGCTAGTGCCAAGCCTTTCCTGGACAATTCCTGTGCCCTCTCCCAGCCAGCCTGGAACAAACGGCCTTCCCTGCTCCGACCAGTGCATGAGTGGGAAGGTGTAATGCCCCCATCCAGTACACACCTGCCCGCTGGGAACGGGATGGTGCTACTAGACCTTCACACACAGGTAAGCACGGCTGTTGCTCTTACAAAGATACCAGCACACATTTGATGCCAGCATCATGAAACCATTATGTTACTTAACAAAGAGAGAAAAAAAAATCCCCTCAGTCCAGCAGCCCAAGCCCTTCCAGCCTCTACGAAACTGTCTCTTTCTGGAGGCTGCGCTTCAGCCAAGACCCGAGGGATGGGGGCAGCGCTAGGTGGGGAAGGGATGCTGAGGAGACTCAGAAGGTATCCTTAAAATACAAGTGGGAAGGGGCTCTTGTATTACCCACCCAATGCCTTGAATTAAAAGTTTCTTTGCAGGTGGGATGCTGAGAGGGTTATGAGCTTGACTATTCCTTTCTATTGACGGAGAAGTTCACACGTTGGAGTGAAAACACTGGGAGGAGGTCAGCAGTCCCTTTCCTTCTTTTGAGATAATAAATCCTTAATCACCAGCCCAAATTTAAGACCAATAGCTCTGCAATCGCACACAGAAACAACTGACAATTAACATAGCAGTCTACCAAGCAACAGAGATACAGAACCACTAGCAACCCCCAGATCAATGAGAAAAACGCTCACTATTAGCAGAGAGAAAAAGCAGAGCAAGTTCTGCTTTTTGATGATTTCCATTTTTCTTTGTAATAATTTGCAGGGAAATGATGTGTGATGTTTGTTGTTTTTTTTTTTCTAAAGCCCCAGTACTTTTCACACAGCTGCTGTTACCAAGAAGCAAAAGGTACCCATGAAGAGTGTTTCAAAACCCACAGCACTGGCAAAAAATATGCCAGGTAACTGTCAGTCAGTCAGTGGCTAATATTATTTCTGGTTCTCTTCTGTTTTAATTTTTTCTTCCTTTTCACCCCATACTCCAGTCAACCGCTTCCACTAATGTACAGAACATGATGCATTTAGTATATTAAAGTACATCCTATTCTCTGTCTCTTTTTAGACTGCTTAGATGTTGCACACACAATTCAAATGCAACAATAATCATAAACAATCTGAGAACAGGCAATTTATAAAAGCCAAATCCAAAAGCCAACATGTTTTTTTCCTTGCTCTGTGATTAAAAAAAATACCCCAAACCCAAGAAGCCCCTGAACAGTGAGATGGTTTTAAGAAAAGTTAAATATATACAAGTCTCAGAGTTACCTCTCCAGGGAGGAGATTTTGTAACCCTCCCCATTTCCCACCCTCTTCTCCATCATAGCAATATAAACTAACCAGGTATATATTTTACATTCAGTTGAACTATTCACATTACTTATATCATTTATAATTCTGTATAAGAGATAGTGAATATATGAGACAAACACATTCCCCACTGCAGTTCCTCATGTACATGAATTGCTGGGCACGCATCCATTCCCTTTTTACCACCAGCCCTTCCCAAAACAAACACCAAAATCAATTATTGCTACTTGTTGGGTAAACAGAGGCAGTCTCGCACATACTGGCACCAAACAGAGATATACACGTACAGATAGATGTACATGCACAGAAAAACAACTTTCCTATGTGGAAAGACTGAATTGTTGCATTACAGACATGTCTACCCTAAGCTTTTACTTCTGCCAGAGAGGAAACAGGTACGAAAGAAAACAGGAATGATGCAGGTACATGGGTGGGCACAAGTTTTCTATTTAAAGGAAAGCAAAAACAAGTGAAACAAGACAGACACAAGGTTAGCCAGGTGTGCATGCTTCTCACCTACCTTTGCATGGAAAAGAAATCTCCAAGGGAGAAGTGTCCAAGTCAGAGAAGCAAAATAAAATAAAAATGAAAAGGTTTGAAAAATTCCCAATCAGGGAAAAAAAAAATTAAAAAGACCACCCCCCCACACACACTTTCCACACTGACACAGGCACACTCACACACAGATACACACACCTCTGCACCCAGGGAAAAAAAAAAAGGAGGAAAAAGATCAGGATCAGCTGAGTGACTGGGAGCAAAGAACCTGCAGGCGAGAATCAGGGAGTTGTGTTAGATCCGAAGCTGCAAGTACTGAGCGTGTGCAGGAAGGAGATGGTTTAAAAGGAAAATACATGTTAAGAAATTGTCTGTTCGGGCTGAAGTCTGAAGCTTTGGAGTCAGAGAAAAAAAATAAAATAAAAGACCTCTTCCTTTGAGGAAGGATTTGGGGGTCTGTGTGTGTGTATGTGTGTGTGTTTTTCTCCAGGCAGGTGATGCTAAGAAGTGACAGAAGCCTCCTTCAAAAAAGACCAGAGGGTCAAAATAATCATGGAGCGCTGGAAGGTGATGGAGGTGTGGGTGGGGGGAAGTTTAGCTATTCCATGGTGGGAAAGCGAGGAGGACGGTTGGTGTGTGCTTTCTATCTGTCTGGCTCTCTGTCTGTGTCTTATGGTATGTTCACCAAAGGCTTATGGAGTGAACGGCACAGAGCGAGAGAGAGCGAGAATAACTGTACAGGCATAGAGGGAGAGAGAAATGCTGTCCTTACAGTGACACCAAATGTCTTTAGGGGAAACCTACAATTAGAGACACATAAGGTAGGAATTTTAGAAACATCAGAGGAAAAAGAGAAATCTTCCTAACAAGAACATGCACACATCCACTATGGGGTCTCAGGACAATTGATCTCCCCTTGTCTGCAGCCCTCTCCATCCTCTCCTTTCTGACAGACACCAGCTTGCTTTTCCTGGACCTTGTGGGTGTGTGTCCCTCCGCAGGTCACAAACCAAGGAGGTTAGGAAATTACTGCTCCCTAAGGAAGATCTAAAAAAACTTAGCAACCCCCCAAAATCCCTCCCTCAAAATCAGTCCCTCCTCTCCCCCCATCCTACTCCCAAAACTGTTACGGGGACTTTGGGAGTGGGAACAACTCGCTGCAAATTAATTCCCTATTGCATTTTGTGAAGCTAGGAAGAAATTAGAGAGACGGAAAATACACAGGAATACCGTCATCGGAAGGGCAAAACCAGACTCCTGCAGACCAGCTCTGCAGAAGGAGCTCTCCTGAAGAAGGTCCAGCCCAGCATCAATCTCCTGGCACCCTTCCCATCCCAGAGCAGAGCAGCCTGACTCCCTCCAGTGCAGGCCCCTCATCCTTGGGGCACCAGCATTCAGTTTTGCTAAGACTGCTGAGCTAGGTCGGGTAAAGAGGCACTAAATGAAATGTGATCCACAAACAGGGTCAGTGAGATTTTGTCTCAAGCCATCGCGGTCCTCAAGATTTTTCATGGGTTTTCTTTGATCGAACCAATAAAACACCAGATATTAGGAGAGATGGACATATTCCTGCCACATGCTTCTTCTATTTGCTTATGTTTGTAAATCAGCTGTTAAGAAAACCCCCACTGCCAGCTCAATGAACTTCACCCCAGAAGCCTCTCTGTCCCCTTGCAGGGTTACTCAAATCTTTCTCCAGCTCTTTTGCCGCCGAGATGAAGTCTGTGTCTGCTGTTACCAACCTTGTGTTCACGGCTAGAATGGCTGGGTCAGGGTAGTTAAAATGTGACCCAAAAATGGCTGGGAAAGCAAACATTTTTAACCTTTCTGTGAAACAGGCACTCTGATGGGACCTTCCTCTGTGGGAAGGAAATGAAGCAAGTTTGCCTCCTGGTTAAAACAGAAAATCTCTCTTTTTACCTCAAGATAGTTCATGTATGTTCATGGAGTAAAAAGGACTTGGGACGAATCCTCTCCTGCTGCACTCCATCTCTACGTGGTTTAACTCTTAATCACCACATGGACTCCTGTTTTGTGTGGAAGCCATGGATCCTTTGACTAATTTTAACACATAAACTAAACTCCTTTGAGTTTGATCAAGATAGATGGCACTGCCACTGTCTCTCAAGAGGTCCATAACCATCTTTGGTGCAAAGATGGCAGCCACTGACTGCTTTTAGCATAACATAGTTGTATTTTTTTAACTGTCTGCTTGTTTCCTCTCCTGAAAGACAAGTTCAGGCCCCAGAGGAAAGTTGTAAAAGACAGCGGTCTTGTAAGCATCAACAGTGAGCAGCTTAATAACCCTCTTGGAAAAACAGCCCTTCCTCAGACAAGCCTTTCCTTTCATAGCATCCAGCCGTATCCCAAACCCACAAGGGCCCACAAGCTAGAAGAGATTCTGTTCCAGGCTAAATACTTCTGGCTGGCCAGACCTCTTCTTGCTAGAGGTTAGAGCCTGTTTATATTGAAATCGTGCAGGACACTACTACTGGATTCCTTCAGTACCAAGGATGGTTGTAGTTATTTTGAATCTATCTTTACTCACTAGTTAGAAGACTCGCTTTTAAGAGCAGAGAATGAATGTCACGATCCATAAGCATTGGGAAGCACCTCAAAGCGCAGACATGATTTGTGACACCCCATTTTCAACTTCTTATGTGATAGGCCTATGGCCCTGACCCATGCCAGAGCTTTGGTGTGATTCGAGAGCCACGTAATTGTCCTGGATGCTGGCTGAGCCAGATGCCTAAGCAGATCTTTAGAACAGCACTCTGAATCCTTTGGTGCCGGGCTGTGGGCAATCCGCCTAGACAGCTCCTGCTTAAACCAATTCTTGGAAGTCACATAATAGATGCTATGCTTCTGGATTGTCATACATGCGAAAACAGTAAATAGGCTTCACAACCACTAATACCCTCTTATCTCCCATGAGTGGAAGAGAGAACTGAAGGGCAAAGAAAGGGAAGAGACCTATTCTGCTAGGTGCTGAGCAGCCACCAAGGAACATGCAACCTTGAGAGCTACAATCTTGCAAGCGACTTCAGTTAGATCTTTCCTAGCTCTCTACCTGGATCAACCCTCCTTTACAAGCACATATATATACATTTCTTGTTCCTACATATATCTGAGGAGCTTGGCTGGGCTTCTAGCCCTGCAGCGCTGGCAAGCTTGCTCTGGGTTGCCATGTTAAACTCCTTGGCATTCTGGGTTCCTCTTCAGCAGTCACAAAACATTTACCATTCCCTCTCCTCCAAAAACATCCGCTCTTTCTTTCTGGGAGGAAGAACTTCAATTCTATCCCAAAAATGATGAATCTGAGCATTATATGTTTTCAGACGCCTGCAATTCACCAACAAGCGCCTTCAGGGGAAACAGGCAAAAAAAAATGCAACTGAATTTATTCATTCGTGGATATCAAATGAGAAAAATAGAATAAGGAGAAGGACAGGAGAAAGAGGGAGAAGAAACAGGGCAGTACAGAGAGGCAAAAAAATTGTGAAGGAGGATGAAGGGAACGTGTAGAGGGGTTCAGGATGGTAGTTGCACACCAACATGCACACAGGATAATTCTGGGGTCATCACTGACATCCCTATCCCTTGGTGAAATCTGTTTGGTTTCCAGTGTATGCCCACCATGAGGAAATGGTGAAATCTTGAACTCTCATCCAGGTAAACCTTCAAAAAGATAAAAACAAGCAACAGGCTTGGAAGGAGGGGAGAAGGAAAAGTGGCCATGTGGGGTAATGGGGTGGTGCATTCACAGATTTGGAGCTGGTGGAAAGAGAAAGCCCAGAGCAGCTCGTGTTCCTTCTCAGGCACAAGTCCAGGAGTGAGGTCCTCCATCCCCATTCTCCTTCCCCAGTGTGTGCACACCAGAGAGGATTTCAGTGGGCTTACTAGTACATACTTACCCCAGCTTCGTCAGCAAGCCTCGTGCTGGGAAACCGTTGCCCTCCCTGACTACACCTTTCTTCCCACCAACACCAAACGGAAGGCCTGAAGACAAATGGCTCCTCTTCTTGCAGCTCACAGCAGTCACAGGGCTCCACCTGCAGTCACTAAGGCTCTTTCAAAAAGTTTTGTCATTCATAGTGTGTGTGAGATGTGTTGTGAGCAAGCTAGGAGAGTTTAATCCCAGTGGTTCTTAGTGGGTCTCATCAAAGGCATGCACAGCACAAGCTGCACCACTACACGTGCATGCAAAGCATTCCGGGGTCCTCCTCTCCTTTTCATCATGGCTCTTGAGAGGAACCATAATGGCTGCATCTTGCCTTCCATCACCTGAGCGAACGGGTTAGCGGGGTAAGGCTGCGACTCACTGCCAGCAGCCTCAGAGGAAGGTCCAGGTGAGAGGGAACTAACAGGAAAGGAGGAGTCTTATCAAAGCAGAGAGACTTCAGAAATAGTTACTGGGAGATGCATCCCTCTCCTCTGCAGGTTTGCAGGTAGCTGCGGGCTGAGGCGAGGCAGAGTCCACTAAGCAGCAGCCCAATGCTGGATTTAACAGCATCCTCCACCCAAGCCTCAGGGTGTCCTGCCTCCTGCCAGGCTGACCCAGTCCCCATCCCTTTTGCCTTTTATTTCACCAGCCCTGATGGCAGATCCTGCTGTTCTGCCAGGAGCACAGGAGTCAACGTTGATAGTCACCGCAAATGCTGTTGCTCTTCAACCCAGGTATAGCTCTGAAGCCCCAGCCTGTCCTGTTGTTTGTCCCACTGGGGTGCACAGACACCTCCAAACTGAGTCAACTACATGCATAGAGTAGCCACAGCCACGTGTCAGGTCAGCTCATCCCCCAGCAGAAGGCAAGGGATGAGGGGCAGGTGGACACAAGACAAGATTTTTCACTGTGCTCCCAGATAGGGCATCAGGTCCAGCATCTGTTGCCACTGTGGGTTTATATTTGCTGCTTCCAGGAGACAGTGCTCAGCTTTTCCCACACCCTTCAAAATAGAAAGAGAAAAAATGAGAGAGTGTAAGCTCTGACGTGAACCTAACTTTAGATCCAAGAGCTGATGACTCATTCCACTGGGGGAGAAGTGGCTG